CAGACGAAAGAAAGATTAAAGAAAGAAAGAAAGAAAGAAAGAAAGAAAGAAAAGAAACAGAGAGACATCAGTTACATTAAAGAAAGAAAGAAAGAAAGAAAGAAAGAGTAAGAAACAGAAATATCAGTTCCATCGAAGAAAGAAAGATGAATGAATAAATGAATGAAAAAAATAAAGACTAACACATGTACATCGATCACGTAGAAGGAAGGAAGGAAGGAAGGAAGGAGAGAAGGAAGTGTAACAGAGTTGCATCAGTCAGGTAAAAAAAGAAAAGAAAGATAAACCGGCTTGGACTGTCAGAAGAAAGAAAGAAAGAAAGAAAGAAAGAAAGAAAGAAAGAAAGAAAGAAAGAAAGAAAGAGTAAGAAACAGAGACATCGGTTCCATCGAAGAAAGAAAGAAAGAAAGAGTAAGAAACAGAAACATCAGTTCCATCGAAGAAAGAATGAAAGAAAGAAAGAAAGAAAGAAAGATGAATGAATAAATGAATGAAAGAACTAAAGACTAACACAGGTACATCGATCACGTAGATAGATGGAAGGAAGGAAGGAAGGAAGGAAGGAAGGAAGGAAGGAAGGAAGGAAGGAAGGAAGGAAGGAGAGAAGGAAGTGTAACAGAGTGGCATCAGTCAGGTAAAAAAAGAAAAGAAAGATAAACCGGCTTGGACTGTCAGAAGAAAGAAAGAAAGAAAGAAAGAAAGAAAGAAAGAAAGAAAGAAAGAAAGAAAGAAAGAAAGAATGAAAGAGTGACATCAGTTACATGAAAGAAAGAAAGAAAGAAAGAAAGAAAGAGTAAGAAACAGAGAGACATCAGTTCCATCGAAGAAAGAAAGAGTAAGAAACAGTGACATCAGTTACATCGAAGAAAGAAAGAAAGAAAGAAAGAAAGAAAGAAAGAAAGAAAGAAAGAAAGAAAGAAAGAAAGAAAGGTAGATTAACAAGATGAGGACACTCAGAGAGAAAAACCAAAGAAAGACAATCAGCATAACAGGAGTGGGTAATGACAGGAAACAGAAGACCTAAATTTCCTGTGGAAGTGAAATATAAAAGCCGTGTCACAAAATAGACAACAGTAATGATAGAAGCCTTATGGATATTTTCAGATTTATTACTTCTTCCCCTTCATTTAACCTTGGATTTGCTTTCATATTTAATTTTGCTCTTTTTTTTCCCTCTTTTGTCCTCTATTTTACCTTCACCTCATCTTATTTAAATAGTAATCTGAAGAGGTAGTTTTACGAAATTCTGTTTACTCGCAGCTACATTATTTAGATTGTTTTCTATTTACATGAGTGTTTGTTTATTTGCATGTGTATTTTGCGTAAACTCTTTTCGTTGTTCCTTCCGTTTCGTTTTGTATTTATTTTACAATTTTTGTATGGTTTTCATTTCGGTTTCTCTTTTCATTTACCCATTCTTACATTCATTCTCATTGTTTAAGACCGCCATGTTTTCCGCAAATTTGCATTCTCGTTGCCGCCATTTTGAAAATATACGGAATGATTTCCATTGTTTTTATGATATTTTTTTAATATCTTGTTTTATTATCATTATTTTTTTGCTGTTTATTATTTTTGTTCGCTTCTTTATTACTTTTCATTTCGTTTTCTTTCCCTTCTCATATTACTTCTTTTATTATATTTTCCCTCAGAACACTTTCGTTTAAGTAATTCTTTTTCTCTGTATTTATATTATTTCTTTCATTATCTATCTATCTATCTATCTATCTATCTATCTATCTATCTATCTATCTATCTATCTATTTAGTAACATCCCTTGAATTATTTTTGTTTTCCGGTTTTCGTAATTAAAATTCATTTCGTCGAATATATCGCATAATATAACAAAGTTAGTTATATATCTACTGCTTTTTGAATGTGCAAACCTTAGTCTGTAAGGCTTCCATTATGCTAACATCTTTGAGCAGACTACAAACAAACAATCTATAAGCTTTTCAATTCATCTTATATTCTCAAAGCTAAAATATGTGAACAGTGGAGACTATAAATACTCTCCCGTAGCCAAGGACTTGAAAGTTGTGTTGTTATGTGACTAGACACGTCATTATCAACTACTACTACATTATATAACGTTATAATAGGCCGGAGGACCTCTTCGCTATGGTATCTAGGATTTAAGCGCAATGCTATGTTGACAACATGGTTTCAGAAATCTCCAATTGAATTGGCTAGATGTAACAGTAAGTCCTATGCTAACAGTTTCTTTTCTCGCTTGTAGAATTTTCTCCGGCTTTCCGGCCATCTTTTATGTTCAACAATTGAAATGCAATGTCAATTGTTTTCTACTGTCTTCCCACTTTCTATTGTTCTCTGTTTCATTCATTTGTAAATAAGTCCTGAAAATTTCATTAAAATTGGGCAATTACTTTATTATTTTTACGAGAATTTCAAAATCAATGTGTTTTCGACGGAAA